CTCAAAAAAAAAAAAAAAAAAAAAAAAAAAAAAAGATCTGTGTACTAAGAATACATTGTCTCTGGATTTATATTCTGGCCAAAATATAGGTTTGGGATTAAAGGTGCTGCTTATCTAAAAAATAAAGATGGTTTAGTCATCTCATGTGGCCCAGACAGCCGTTCTGAATGGAAACCAGGATCCCTTCAACGATTTCAAAACAAAATTACCTCTACTACAACAGATGGGGAATCTGTTACATTCCACTTGTTTGACCATGTAACCGTAAGTCTGTATTTCTATTAAGTATTATTAATATTTTAAACGTAAAGAACAAATAGTATGATTTAGTAATGTATTTTCTTCTCTGTGCTAGGTAAGAATATCCGTACAGGCCTCACGCTGCCATTCTGATACCATCCGACTTGAAATAATAAGTAACAAACCATACAAGTTACCAAATACAGAGCTTTTTCACCAGAGTTCCCCCTTGCTGAAGAGTGAGTTAGTGAAAGAAGTAACTAAATCTGTGGAAGAAGCTCAGCTTGCCCAAGAAGTCAAAGTAAACGTCATTCAGGAAGAATATCAAGAATATTGTCAAACAAAGGGAAGGAGCCTGTACGCACTTCTGGAGGAGATAAAGGACCTGGCCCTCCTGGATGTTTCAAACAATTACGGAATATGAAAGACTCTTACTGCACTGAGAGCTGCCACGTGAATGTTTTACAGTCTTTTCAAACCTAACATTTAATGTGTGTCACTCTAGTCGATCAGGACTGGGTAGCTATTTCACATACATGTAAAATGTTCTCTCACTCATTAAACTTGCATTAAATTAAGTATAATTAGGTCACTTTTTAAACTGAGTTTTCAGTAATGAGTGGATAGTAAGTGGTGGCTCTGCAGATTGCTAGCCCCTTTTTAGTAATTTTAATAAACCCAAAATTATTGGTTATCTTGTCTCAAATCAGTTCTTTCAAATGTTTTATTTTTCCAGTAATTACGAATCCATTTGGGTCATAGGACAAATGGATTTTGACATCTGTCCGATAATTTTCAGTCACTTGATAGTAAGACTTAGTCCTGAGTCCACCTCTCCACTTAAAAACCCCTGTTTCCTATTTGACACAACCCTTCCCTGCTGTCTCCAGTACTAGTTGGGAATAGGACACAGGGCGGGTGGTAGGGTGTGCAGGGAAAGTTCTACGTCACAGGCCTCCCTTCCCACCCTCCCACTTGGATGAGGTACACTGACCTTCCCCTTGTTGGAAACATGTTACTTTGCCAGCAAACCCCCTACTAGAAAAATTAACTCTTGGCTGTGCACTGTGGCTCACACCTATAATCCCAGCACTTTGGGAGGCCGAAGCAGGTGGATCATGAGGTCAGGAGTTCAAGACCAGCCCGGCCAAGATGGTGAAACCCTGTCTCTACTAAAAATACAAAAAAATTAGCCAGCCATGGTCACGGGTGCCGGTAATCCCAGCTACCTGGGAGCCTGAGGCAAAGAATTGCTTGAACCTGGAAGGTGAAAGTTACAGTGAGCCGAGATTGCCCCACTGCACTCCAGCCTGGGCAACAGAGTGAAACTCTATCAAAAAAAATTAGCTCTTCTTTCTCAGTTATTTAATATAGTTTTGTGAGGGTAGAGAGAAGCAGGAATAGGCCCTCTTGAGGAAGCAGTTTCTGTAGGCATTGGTGGCACCTTGAAACTGCTCTCCATCTTCTAGCTGATCCCCTAATAGCTGTAGTTAGCCACAGTTCTCCTGATACACATGCCTCTTGGCCCATCCCTGTGGCAGTTCCCAGCAGGTCCACAGTCCCCTCCCCTGCCCCATCCCAGATGTTCTCCTTGTGCTCAACTTCCTGGCTTTTCAATCAAACCATCTTTTTTACTCCCTATCCCCACCTGAAGTCAGAAACCCTGAAGAAAAGATGCCTGCCTGTCCTGGCTTTGTAGATGGAAGCCACTACAGCACCATCATTCTCCCCTTTCCCCAAGGGAAAAGGAGGTGAGAGGCCAAGTGCCAGGGAAGATCACTTGAGGCCAGGAGTCCAGGACCAGCCTGGTCAATGCAGAGAGACACCATCTCTACAAAAAATTAAAAAATTAGCCAGGCATAATGATACATGCCTGCAGGCACAGCTACTTGGGAAGCTAAGGCAAGGGGACAGCTTGGGCCCCAGGACTTTCAGGCTGCAGTGAGTTAGAATTGGGCCACTAAGTGACAGTGACACACACACACACACACACACACACACACACACACACACACACACACAAACTATAGTGCTGAGAGAGTGGGGTGGGAGATGGGAGAGCCTTTCCTAATGCTAACCTTTCTTATTTGTAATTACCCCTCTACCTGGCAGGAAGAACTCCAATCAGGTCTTCTCACAATTTGGCCCGAACGCTTCTAGCCTCAAAATCAGCATTCCTAAAATCTCCCTTATCCCCTCAATCATTATTTGTCATTATTGTACATGTGCTTACCCATATTTGGAATCTCCTCCACCAAATGCAGTCTTTCCTATGAATCCTCCTTAGATGCTGTGTTCCCCATGATACTTTGCAAGCTTCACTCCAACTAGTCAGTAAGTTACCAAAAAACATTCTTTGAACTACCCTATTTCCTATGAGGACCAGGCAATAATCAGCCTTTCATGTGACCTTTTAAGTATTAAAACAATTCCTTAAAAAACATGCAAAAGCCTTGTATTTACCAAAAGTATAAACTCCAGAACTAAATAGCAATGAAAACCTTCCATAAAGCCCGTAGATAGCTTTTAAGATACTTTTTACTTCCTTGAAAAAAATACATTAATATTGAATATATATGTACATGTTAAAACTTCACCCAGGCGACTCTGGATACACTGTCCATGGGTTAGCCCTGCTCTGCAAAGAGCAGTAAAAAACAAAAACAAAACCTCCCAACTTAGTGAAAACAAGGCATTCAATAACAGATGAGCAGCAGCAGAAGCTGCTTATTACCGACTAACCATTTTATGAAGAAATACCTACAGAAAAACAAACACTAAAGAGAACAGATTTAACTAAAGGGACAAACATAAACAAATACCAGATTACCAGATGTTAAACAATAATCTGTAAAAATTTTTTTACTACCTAAGGATTTTCACTCAAATAAAAATGCATAGTAACACCAAGCTTGCAGGAGGGTGAGTTAACAGACACATTTACTCTTAATGGAAACCTAACCAGCTTCAGTAGTATTTCTGGATGAAGCATCAAGTTACTGTTGCACATTTTTAGGATTGGTCCAGCAGTGTTTCCCCTAATTTTAATTCCTCCTCTACATTTAAAGTATTAGTATGATTACATGAATTGTCTAGAATGTCTTCTTTTAATCCATTTGACTCCTCCTTTTGATCCTCATCCGTATTAAGCTCTTCAACTGTCTGTGCCCTGGGTATGTTCATTAACATATCTGAAAGAAATCATACCATTATTCATTATAAGTACCTGATCCAATCTTACCACATAAGAACAAACCCCTACAAAAGCTTAGTTTAGTAAAATAAAATCTATGATCACTTAATGACAATCACTTTCTTCTAAATAAACCTTTTTCTTTTTTCTTTTTTTTTTTTTTGAGACGGAGTTTCGCTCTTGTTACCCAGGCTGGAGTGCAATGGCGTGATCCCCGCTCACCGCAACCTCCGCCTCCTGGGTTCAGGCAATTCTCCTGCCTCAGCCTCCTGAGTAGCTGGGATTACAGGCACGCGCCACCATGCCCAGCTAATTTTTGTATTTTCAGTAGAGATGGGGTTTCACCACGTTGACCAGGATGGTCTCGATCTCTTGACCTCGTGATCCACCCGCCTCGGCCTCCCAAAGTGCTGGGATTACAGGCGTGAGCCACCGCGCCCGGCCAATAAACCTTTTTCTTATTTTTTGAGATGGAGTCTCGCTCTGTCATCTGGCTGAAGCGCAATGGCGCAATCTCGGCTCACTCCAACCTCTGCCTCCTGGGTTTAAGCGATTCTCCTGCCTCAGCCTCCCAAGTAGCTGGGATTACAAGCGTCCACCACCACACCCAGCTAATTTTTGTATTTTTAGTAGAGACGGGGTTTCACTATGTTGGCCAGGCTGGTCTCGAGCTTTTGACCTCGGGTGATCCGCCCACCTCAGCCTCCCAAAGTGCTAGGATTACCGGCATGAGCCACCACGCCTGGCCAATAAACCCATGTTTATACATGTATAAGACCCATTTGAAATGTAAGAGGCCAGGTCCAATCCAAACACTTTGGGAGGCTGAGGTGGGAGAATCATTTGATCTCAGGAGTTCAAGACTTGCCTGGGCCACATAGTGAGACCCCCATCTCAACAAAACATAAAAAAAAAAAATTAGCTGGGTGTGGTGGTGAACTGTGATCACACCACTGCACTCCAGCCTGAGTGACAAAGTGAGACCCTGTCGCCAAAAAGAAAAAAAGCAAAAGGATTTTAAATGTTATTAAACTCACATTCTTGGATCATAGTCAAATTCAACTGTTCTCATTCAAAATCAAAACTACTCCTGGCCGGGCACAGTGGATCATACCTGTAATCTCAACATTTTGGGAGGCCAAGGCAGACAGATCACCCAAGGCCAGGAATTCAAGACCAGCCTGGCCAATAAGGTGAAACCCCGTCTCTACAAAAAATACAAAACTTAAGCGGGTGTGGTGAAGCACGCCTGTAATCCCAGCTACTTGGGAGGCTAAGGCAGGAGAATCACTTGAACTTGGGAGGTGGAGGCTGCAGTGAGCCGAGATCAGCCACTGCACTCCAGCCAGGGTGACACAGCAAGACTACATCTTAAAAAAAAAAAAAAAAAAAAAAAGCAAAACTACGAGGAAGAGGTCTAATAAAAATGAAATACGTTTACGTTGTATGTCAGAGTGATCCATAAGAAACTTTAAGGTACTTATTTCCATTTGGATAAATTTTAAGTTGTATATGATAAACAAAAGGTGAGCTTTAAATACCAATTGCCACAGCAAAGAAGCCACTGCCATCAAGAATAATGCTATCTTCATGTAATGTTTCACATGGTACTAATAAAACATCCAATTATAAAGAAAAAGTCAGGAGGCTGAGGCAGGAGAATTGCCTGAACCCAGGAGGCGGAGGTTGTGGTGAGCCGAGATCGCGCCATTGCACTCCAGCCTGGGTAACAAGAGCGAAACTCTGTCCCAAAAAAAATAAAAATAAAAATAAAAAAATAAAGAAAAAGTAAATTCAGCCCGGTGCGGTGGCTAATGTCTGTAATCCCAGCACTTTGGGAGGCTAAGATGGGTGGATCATGAGGTCAGGAGTTTGAGACCAGCCTGGCCAACACAGTGAAATCCTATCCCTACTAAAAATACAAAAATTAGCCGGGTGTGGTGACACCACTCAGGAGGAGGAGCCTACTCAGGAAGCTGAGGCAGGGTTATTGCTTGAACCTGGGAAACCTGGGAGGCAGAGGCTGCAATGAGCCAAGATCACGCCACTGCACTCCAGCCTGGTCTACGGAGTGAGACTCCATCTCAAAAAAGAAAAAGAAAATTCATCCTAACTGAAAAAAAAAAAGGTAGCCAAAATAATTTTCACTTGAAAATTTTAATATACTGGGTGTATCTTTCTTTTTGAGACAAAGTTTCGCTCCTGTTGCCTAGGCTAGAGTATTAGGTAATGGCGCCATCTCAGCTCACCACAACCTCCGTCTCCTGGGTTCAAGCAATTCTCCTGCCTCAGCCTCCTGAGTAGCTGGGATTATAGGCATGCGTCACCACACACTGCTAATTTTATATTTTTAAGTAGAGATGGGGTTTCTCCACGTTGGTCAGGCTGGTCTCAAACTCCCAACCTCAGGTGATCTGCTCATCTTAGCCCCTCAAAATGCTGGGATTACAGGTGTGCGCCACCACACCCAACGCGGGTGAAGCTTCTTTTACAACATGGTATCTACTTATTATTTTTTGTAGAGACAGGGTCTACGTTGCCCAAGTTGGTCTTGAACTTCCAGGCTCAAGTGATCTGCCTGTCTCAGCCTCCCAAAGCGCTGGGATTACAGGCAAGAGCCACTGTACTGGGCCTATAATTCTTATTTTTCCATTTTGAAAGGAAAAACTGAATGGGAAATTGAGAAAAATATATGCAGTCCGCTTACTTCATTCAAAACCAGCTTGCAATTCTTTCTAAATATAGTTTTAACGAACTTGGTTATGTAGTTTCCAAACCCACAATCTGTGTTAAAAACAGCAAATTTATATCCTGATATTACTGGTATTCAGAAAGAAAAAAAAAAAAACCAGCAAATTGAGGCCAGGTACAGTGACTCATACCTGTAATCCCAGCACTTTGGGAGGCCAACACTGGAGGACTGCTTGAGACCAGAAGTTCAAGGCTGCAGTGAGTCAAGATCACACCACTGCACTCTAGCCAGGGTGACAGATTGAGAACATTTCTAAAAAGAGTCATAATAGTATATTTTTAAATAAACCTAATGTTCAGGCAGTTTTAGAAGTGAGATGGGGATGCTCTACAGGTGGGCAAATTAAGCAGCTACTTTTAAGTACAGCTAACAAGTGACAAAACACAAGAAAAAGCATTTTTGGGGGGGGGGACGGAGTCTCGCTCTGTCGCCCAGGTTGGAGTGTAGTGGCGTGATCTCAGCTCACTGCAGCCTCCACCTCCCAGGTTCAAGTGATTCTCCTGCCTCAGCCTCCCGAGTACCTGGGATTACAGGCACACACCACCATGCCCGGCTAATTTTCATATTTTTAGTAGAGATGGGATTTTACCATGTTGGCCAGGATGGTCTCAATTTCCTGACCTCGTGATCCACCCGCCTTAGTCTCCCAAAGTACTGGGATTACAGGCATGAGCCAATTCGCCTGGCCTCTTTTGTTTATTTATTTATTTATTTTTGAGACGGAGTTTTGCTCTTGTCGCCCAGGCTGCAGCGCAATGGGACAATCTAAGCTCACTGCAACCTCCACCTCTTCGGTTCAAGCAATTCTCCTGCCTCAGCTTCCCAAGTAGCTAGGATGATAGGCGCACATCACTATGCCTAGTTAATTTTTATATTTTTAGTAGACACGGGGTTTCACCATGTTGGCCAGGTTAGCCTTGAATGCCTGACCTCAGGTGATCCTCCCACCTAGGCCTTCCAAAGTGCTGGGATTACAGGCATGAGCCACTGTGCCCAGCCAAGTGATTAAAGTAATTTTTTTTTTTTTTTTTTTTTTTGAGACG